TCATTGTGATGTCGGCACCAAGACGGGATCCGCCTCGGGTTCAGGGGAAATTCTGGGGCGGGTCCTGTCATCGACTTTCTGATTTTAGAACAGCAAGACTGATTAGTGCCAATTCATCCAACTGGACCCATATTGTTGGCTCATTTGGCTACATGGCACCAGGTAACATACCAATTTAACGTTGTGCATTTTTGGATCATAATTTGGTGGCTGAGATATGTTTTGAGGATTTGGTTTGTTTTTCTCTTCATGTGCAGAGCTTGCATTGACAATGCGAATCACGGATAAGTGTGATGTGTATAGCTTTGGAGTGGTGGCGCTGGAAGTTATGATGGGAAGGCACCCAGGGGATTTGCTAGAATCCCAGCTTTCAGAATCATCACAATCAATGAAGGAGGACAATGCAAAGTTGCTTTTGAAGGATTTGTTAGACCAAAGGCTGGAGGCTCCAAGCAATGAATTGGCAAAGGCAGTGGTGCTTGTGATGAGTTTAGCCTTGGCTTGTATACGTACGCGTCCCGGGTCTCGACCTACAATGCTCTTTGTAGCACAAAAACTATCAGCTCATATTCTGCCTTCCCTTCCTGAACCATTTGGCATGCTAACCATCAACAAGCTGATGGGGATATAAGAGAAATTCTTATACCATGTATGTTAACATTAACATCTGCACCGTCCATTCTAAAAAAATAAAAATCTGCACCATCCTAATTACTCATCTCTATTCTTTTTGGATTATATGCGTGACTCATTTACTAGCAATCCCTTTTTTTGTTTTTTTTGTTTTTTTTTGTTTTTTGTGTGGTAAATTTATTACTAGTATACATAGATAGATAAAGTAAAATGTATTAATTTTGTATTAATTTTTTTTAATTAATTTAAAAATTGAGTAGATTTTTTTCCTCATCTTTTCTTAACCAGACATTTGATAGTTATCTAAATATCTTGCACAATTTTCTTCAAAAAATAGGCTTTGGATTTGGATTTAGGCCCAATAAACAGCGGGTGTTCCACTAGCCCACTAGCCCACAGAAGATGCGAGCCGACGGATGATTTTATGGACAACTCTCAGTTCACAATTAGCAATATCGATATTGCCTTCAATTTAACCACATATTTGACAAGTGTGAAATTTATATTAAAAAAAATGTCTCGATGCTATTAGTAGTAAAACAATTCATTATATATTTTATTTATTTTATTAAGCTTCTAATGCTGGAGTTCAATATTCTTCAAAAAACTTGAGCCCCATTGAACAGCGTGTGCTTCACTTAGCCCACGCCCACCCTAAGAATAATAAAATGTTGAACTTGCTAATGTTGATACAGCGTGACAATATAGAAGACAATCAACCGATTAGCTTAAAAGAACCCAAGCCTAGAATCCACCATATAATAATTGTTACATATGATGGGTGCTTGAATTCATAAGTAGAAGATATTGGTATATGTGGGTACAATATTTGGTTAACTTAGGCAATTTCCCAAGATTTGCTGACGGTGATTAGAAATGACCAAAGCAATTTCCCTTCATTTGTAGATTTTAAGTTGACTGCAAGACTTTTCTTCAGTTTGGAATTATGGTTGGGCCATGCTTAACTTCCTCAACTCATTCATAATAGAACTTAACATGAAATTCTTCTGTTTCCCTTTTTTATTTGTCTGTTTTTTGGTTTTCTATTTTTTGTTAAATGAAATTTCTAACTTAACATAGGGCTGGGGCCAAGGGAAAACTAGACCACGCCAGTCAAGTCAAGGAAACACTGGAACCACACTTTTGGGTTGAGTTATAATATCTCCTTTCTCTTTTTTTATTTTCTTGTAGTACTTGTTTATGAATAGCATGTTGGTCCAATAATGCTTAAATTACAAATTTCCTTTCGGTTGTTGCGGTTGAGGGGTTTGAAGCCCAGTTTTAGCAATATTTGCCCCCGAATCGAGTGTTTGACGGATAGGTATACTTCAAAAAATAAATAAAATTTTCTTTTCAATTGATTGTTTGGCTGCTGAAGAAATGAAATTAGGCTATTATAGAAATTGATCGTCTCTTTATCTCGGTTTTTAGGAGGTTTACATGTGGTCACTTGGCTCAGCTGAAGTTTGTTTTACCTGAGGTGATTGAGATAAAGAAAGTTCTTGTTAAGGATGAGAGAACCAGTTGTCTGAAGCCTGATCTTCATGTCACCATCAATGTTGATGCACTAGAGAGTGATGGCAAGGCGAAATCTGAAGGTGGTGGGAGTATGAATTTGAGGAAGACGTTCCTCAAACGGCTCGCAGATATTTCAAAATCCCATCCTGAGGTATACCCAATACTCAGTTTCTGATACAACATTACTAAAATGGTTTAATTTCTAAAGTATTCTTTGTTATTAAATTGATCTGGAATATGGAAAGTTATTGGTGTTCTGGCATGACTTTGAGCGTGCAGGGACTTTAAAGGACGCAAGGATTTAGAATATAAATACTGTATTAATTTATGTAACAAAAATAACTCTATGCACAGGGTTTCATTTGTTTGGTTTTTTTCAAAAAGGTTATTCTTGCAGTTGGGTTCCTGTACTTGTGACTTCAACGTTTTATTTTTATCAATTTAACAATTTATTTTTTGAACTATTGATAGCATGTGGTCTAACAATGCTTAACATGCTTTCAGGATTATGAAATTCCAGAAGAAACTTTGCCTCAGCCATTCGATATTAGGAAGCAAGATATGCAATCAGATACAGGCAAGCTTCCCTTGTCATCATCTCCTGGTGATATATTGACTGATGTACACAGTACAGTTGAGCAGCCAGCAGTGTCAACAAGCTGCCTTCAGGGCGATGAAGTTCCAGAATCAAACCTCAATACAGTTTGCTCTGTTTGGGAAAGGAGTACTTGTGCTTCATTGTATGGCCAAGTGCCTGTGACTCCAACCAAAGGCATAGACCCCATAGAAAATGATGGTAGTTTGCCCACACAAAGTGGTTCAGTTTTATGATTTATTCCTGACTTCTGCCCAAATATTTCTAGGCATCTTGTACATATAATCATGGGTGCTTGAATTCCTAAGAAAATATTATTGCTGGGTACATATAATCATAGGGGCTAGACTTTTGAAACGTAACATAGGGGCTAGACTTATATTCCGTCTTGACAAATGGCTGGGGCCAAGGGAAGGGAAGACTTGACCAGGCCAGTGAAGTGGAGGAAACCAACCACACAACTTTTGTTAACATGTATGTTGACATTAACATCTGCAGCGTCCCGGGTCTCGACCTAACATGTTATGGTTAGAAATTCTAAAACGTGGGATTGGGGTTTTTTCTTTGTCTATGTAAAGAAAGAAACTAATGTGAAACTGAGACTGAAGGCTCAATTCAATGTAGTCAATCGTCCTACTAATGACAGCCAACATTGTGCGTGTGAAGGTTCAATGTAGTAACACCAGACTTGGACAAGACAAGACTTCCTCAGCTCAGTCATAATAGACCTTGACATAGGGGCTAGACTTTATATTTTTCTGTTTCCCTTTTTTTTATTTTTCTGTTTTTTGTTAAATCAAATTTCTAACTTAACATAGGGTCCAGACAAATGTCATCATCAGTCAACAACTATTAGTTCAAAAAAGTAAATTTTCTTATTAACTTAAATTAAAATAAAGCTTTCGACCAAAAATAAATTAATAAAAATAATGCAAATTACAAGTGAATTTTAAAGAACGAAAATGATAACAATAACAATCATCCTTCTATAAAGCTTGGAACATAACATTAACTCCTCAAACCAAACCACCATGGAAGGAGGACTTTTCTCTGCTCACAAGCCTACTTTTCTTCTTCTTCTCCTTCATATTTTCCTGCTTGCTTTGCTTCCATTCAAGGCCATTTCATCACCAAAAACACAGGCAGAAGCTTTGCTAACTTGGAAGAACACCTTTTATGATGCACCACCTTCCCTCACTTCATGGTCCCTCACTAACCTCAACAATCTTTGCAACTGGTATGCCATTGTTTGTGACCAGAGCAGCAAACAAGTTTCCCAAATTGACCTCTCCAACCTCGACATCTCTGCAACACTAACCGATTTCAACTTCACCCCATTTCTCAATCTTACCCAATTCAACCTCAATGGCAACAATTTCGAAGGACCTATACCATCTGCCATTGGCAACCTCTCCAAGCTCACAACTTTGGACTTGGCTTGGAATTCCCTTGAAGGGCCAATTCCATCCTCCATAGGCCAACTCAGGGAGCTTAAATACCTTGATCTTAGAGAGAATTCCTCAAACTCTTCAATCCCTTCTGAGCTTGGTCTTTGTACCAAACTCACCTACTTGGACCTGTCTTCCAATCACCTTGAAGGGAAAATTCCGCCTTCTATAGGCCAACTCAGAGAGCTCCAGCACCTTGATCTTAGTAATAATTTTTTAAATTCTTCAATCCCTTCTGAGCTTGGTTTTTGTCCCAGCCTCACCTACTTGGCCCTGGCTACCAATCACCTTGAAGGGAAAATTCCGCCTTCTATAGGCCAACTCAGAGAGCTCCAGCACCTTGATCTTGGAGAGAATTCCTTAAACTCTTCAATCCCTTCTGAGCTTGGTTTTTGTACCAACCTCACCCAGTTGAAGCTGACTTCCCTTGAAGGGCCAATTCCATCTCCATAGGCCAACTCAGGGAGCTTAAATACCTTGATCTTAGAGAGAATTCCTTAAACTCTTCAATCCCTTCTGAGCTTGGTCTTTGTACCAAACTCACCTACTTGGCCCTGTCTTCCAATCACCTTGAAGGGAAAATTCCGCCTTCTATAGGCCAACTCAGAGAGCTCCAGCACCTTGATCTTAGAGAGAATTCCTTAAACTCTTCAATCCCTTCTGAGCTTGGTTTTTGTACCAGCCTCACCTACTTGGCCCTGGCTTCCAATCACCTTGAAGGGAAAATTCCGCCTTCTATAGGCCAACTCAGAGAGCTCCAGCACCTTGATCTTAGTAATAATTTTTTAAATTCTTCAATCCCTTCTGAGCTTGGTTTTTGTCCCAGCCTCACCTACTTGACCCTGGCTTCGAATAAACTCAATGGGGAACTGCCTCTGTCCTTGTCCAATCTGACCAACATCATCGATCTGAGTTTATTTACTAATCGGTTTACCGGTCCATTCCTGCCTTCTCTGCTCTTCAGTTGGACCGAAGTGGTCTCTTTGCAACTTCAACACAACAGCTTTAGTGGGAATATTCCACCAGAAATTGGACTGTTGACAAAACTCAATGTGCTTGATCTGAATGATAATAAGTTCTCTGCCTCAATTCCGTCATATATAGGAAGATTAGCATTTTTGAGAAGCTTGGATCTTTCGAGAAACCAGCTTTCTGGGTCAATTCCTCTAACACTATTGAAACTTGCAAATCTTCAGAGCTTAAATCTTTCCAACAACTATCTCAATGGCCCAGTCCCGCCAGAGATTTGCGCCGTCTACGTGATAGATTTGTCTAATAACAATTTGTCACAGGAAATCCAAAAAGCCCTCGACGATACTTTTGTTGGAAACTCTGGCCTGTGTGGAGATGCTAGGGGCCTAACTAAAGCGCGCAATTCCAAAAAAAATAACAACAAAGTTATAATTGGTGTCCTTGTACCTGTTTGTGGTTTATCAGTGGTTGCAACTACAATTGCTCTGATTCGTATGTTCCATAAGAAAACCAAGCGTGCTCTTAAGAAAATCAATAGTGCTCAAAACTTTGAGAATTTTGAGTCAATGATATTGCAAGAAGAAGTAAAATTTACGTTTGGGGAAGTTGTAAAGGCCATAGACGATTTTCATGAGAAGTACTGTATTGGAAAAGGAGGATTTGGAAGAGTATACAAGGCAGAATTGCTATCAGGTCAAGTTGTTGCCGTTAAGAGGCTTAACATGTCAGACTCTAACGACATTCCAGCAATCAATCTCCAAAGTTTTGAGAATGAAATCCGAACTCTAACAAATGTCCGGCATAGGAACATCATTCGGCTATATGGGTTCTGTTCAAGGAGGGGATGCATCTTCTTGCTTTATGAATATTTAGAGAGAGGCAGCCTGGGAAAGGCATTGTATGGGGTTGATGGGGTAATTGAACTTGGATGGGCTACAAGGGTCAAAGTTGTGAAAGGATTAGCTCATGCACTTTCTTACTTGCACCACGACTGCTCTCCACCAATTGTGCACCGTGATGTAACTATCAACAATGTGTTGCTCGAGTCAGATTTCGAAGCCCGACTTTCTGATTTTGGAACAGCAAGACTGATTAGTGTCAATTCATCCAACTGGACCCATATCGTTGGCTCATTTGGCTACATGGCACCAGGTAACATGCCAATTTAACGTTGTGCATTTTTGGATCATAATTTGGTGGCTGAGATATGTTTTGAGGATTTGGTTTGTTTTTCTCTTCATGTGCAGAGCTTGCATTGACAATGCGAATCACGGATAAGTGTGATGTGTATAGCTTTGGAGTGGTGGCGCTGGAAGTTATGATGGGAAGGCACCCAGGGGATTTGCTAGAATCCCAGCTTTCAGAATCATCACAATCAATGAAGGAGGACAATGCAAAGTTGCTTTTGAAGGATTTGTTAGACCAAAGGCTGGAGGCTCCAAGCAATGAATTGGCAAAGGCAGTGGTGCTTGTGATGAGTTTAGCCTTGGCTTGTATACGTACGCGTCCCGGGTCTCGACCTACAATGCTCTTTGTAGCACAAAAACTATCAGCTCATATTCTGCCTTCCCTTCCTGAACCATTTGGCATGCTAACCATCAACAAGCTGATGGGGATATAAGAGAAATTCTTATACCATGTATGTTAACATTAACATCTGCACCGTCCATTCTAAAAAAATAAAAATCTGCACCATCCTAATTACTCATCTATATTCTTTTTGGATTATATGCGTGACTCATTTACTAGCAACCCCTTTTTTTGTTTTTTTTTGTTTTTTTTGTTTTTTGTGTGGTAAATTTATTACTAGTATACATAGATAGATAAAGTAAAATGTATTAATTTTTTTTAATTAATTTAAAAATTGAGTAGATTTTTTTCCTCATTCTAAAAAAATAAAAATCTGCACCATCCTAATTACTCATCTATATTCTTTTTGGATTATATGCGTGACTCATTTACTAGCAACCCCTTTTTTTGTTTTTTTTTGTTTTTTTTGTTTTTTGTGTGGTAAATTTATTACTAGTATACATAGATAGATAAAGTAAAATGTATTAATTTTTTTTAATTAATTTAAAAATTGAGTAGATTTTTTTCCTCATTTTCTTAACCAGACATTTGATAGTTATCTAAATATCTTGCACAATTTTCTTCAAAAAATAGGCTTTGGATTTGATTTAGGCCCAATAAACAACGGGTGTTCCACTAGCCCACTAGCCCACAGAAGATGCGAGCCGACGGATGATTTTATGGACAACTCTCAGTTCACAATTAGCAATATCGATATTGCCTTCAATTTAACCACATATTTGACAAGTGTGAAATTTATATTAAAAAAAATGTCTCGATGCTATTAGTAGTAAAACAATTCATTATATATTTTATTTATTTTATTAAGCTTCTAATGCTGGAGTTCAATATTCTTCAAAAAACTTGAGCCCCATTGAACAGCGTGTGCTTCACTTAGCCCACGCCCACCCTAAGAATAATAAAATGTTGAACTTGCTAATGTTGATACAGCGTGACAATATAGAAGACAATCAACCGATTAGCTTAAAAGAACCCAAGCCTAGAATCCACCATATATGAGAAAACCTCAAGTTTATAGAATTCAGAATGATAGCATAATGCCCTAACCACAGGCTAAAGTTGGTTTAAATACTCCTAGAAACCCTAGGATTCTAAAGGGAAATTAACAAAAGTTTCCAAAAACTAGCAAAATACTAAAACACTTTTTTGGGGCTGCTAAATGATCTCAAACGCTCGAAAAAGCTCATATTCATGGCAAATTGATGAGTTTTGCTTGTAATGTCGTTCGTTTCGAAACAGCAAGTCATGGGCCCAAATCCGAGCTTTAGCATGTTGGTATAATAATGTTTTAAATTGCAAATTTCCTTTCATCTAGGCAATAACATGTTGAAAGGAGATATAATTCTCATATAAGATAGAAACTCTATAACGCGGGTGGTTTTTGTTTTGTTTTTTGTTGTCTGTGTAGAGAAGCTACAGTGTGAAATTGAAAATGAAGATGAAGATATGAAAGCTACGCTGTTTTTCTAAGTCAAGAACAACTTTAAACTTGTCAAAAGTTGGTTGGATACAGTAAGCCCTCAATTTACACGGCTTTGACGAGCAGCAAGTTATGAAGACCCTACCAAGAAGAGAGGAAAAAAAGCAAAACAAAAACAAAAGTAAGATGAGTTGTTAGTAGTGTTGTTTCTTCTCGGAAAGCCTGCAAACCTGCACCATTTAATTTATTTATTTTTTAAAGTAGTTCAGTTTTATATTGATATGATTTATTCCTGACTTTTGTCCAAATATTTATAGGCATCTTGGAAATGTTGTAGCTTACTAACTAATCAATTAATTGTACATATAATCATGGGTGCTTGAATTCATAAGAAAATATTATTGCTGGGTACATATAATCACAGGGGCTAGACTTTTGAAACGTAACATAGGGGCTAGACTTTATATTCGTCCGGACAAATGGCTGGGGCCAAGGGAAGGGAGACTAGACCAGGCCAATCGACTGGAGGAAACCAACCACACAACTTTTGTTACCATCAACATCTGCAGCGTCCCGGGTCTCAACCTACAATGATTTATGTGGCACAAAAGCTAACAGCTTAGACCATGCCTCGCCTTCCAGAACCATTTGTTATGTTGACCATCAACAGGCTAATGGTTATACAAAAATAGAAGAAAATGTGAAACTAGTTGGAAAGTATTCTATGTTTAAGATAAACTTTATAAACCTGTGCTTGATGTCTATCTCTGCTTCAAGCTATTAAGTTTGTTGATTGTAATCATCTTTACCCTCGCATCGCATGTTTGGCTTTTATGAAGTAACCGAATGCACTTACTCTGTTAGGCAGAGCAATTACGATTGCCCAATATTTGGCTCAGCATGTTAAAAAAGATTAAAAGAAACATTAGTAGTTAGAAGTGTGTAAAGCAGCTGATTACAAATCTTGAATAGCATAGCAGTTAAAGATTTTCCTTATATCAATATAAGAACCTTTTTTCTTGTACTACTAGTTTTGAATAGCATGCTGGTCCAACAATGCTTAAATTGCAACTGTCCCTTCACCTAGACAATAACATGTTGAAGGGAAATGCACTTATGATATTATGATATAATACAACAGTCGTTCACACATACGTAAATGACTATAATGTAATTGGAATACCATGTTATGGTTAGAAATTCTAAAACGTGGGATTGGGGTTTTTTCTTTGTCTATGTAAAGAAAGAAACTAATGTGAAACTGAGAATGAAGATCAACGGAAGGTTCAATGTAGTCAATCGTCCTACTAATGACGGCCAACATTGTGCTTGTGAATGTTCTTGCTCTTTTCACGATTTTGGATCTTATAGCTAGAGTAAGACCAGACTTGGACAAATGAATAACCCTCTGTGTCTTTTTCTTTTCTTTTTTTGTCAACAATAACCTTCTGTGTCAGGAGACATTTTTATATGTGTCAGAGGTAGGAAACTTACAAGACTTGACTCCAGATTTGAAACTTACAAAGGCTTAGGGCCCGTCTGGTAACGTTTTCGGAGAATGTTTTCTGAGAATATTTTCAGAGAATGAAAACAAGAAAACAAATTTGCATTTTCAGGAAATGAAAATGCGTCTGGTAGATTAATTAGAAAACATCTTTAGAAAACAAAAACAATGAAAACGTGTCTGGTAGTACAATTGTTTTTCAGGTGTATTTTTGCTAATTTTAGTTCTAATTTTTTTTAATTCTGATATTTTTAGAGGCTAAAATTATTGTAAACAATGAAAAAAAAATTAAGCTCAAAAACTACCTTATCTCCTTTTTTTCCTTTTTTTCTTTTTCTTCTTTTTCTCCTTTTCTCTCTTTCCTCCTTTTTTCTTCTTCTTTTCCTTCACATGGCTGCTTCTTTTTTCTCTTTTTCTTCCTCTTTCCTACTTTCTTCCCCTTTTCTTCTTCCTTTCCTTCCCCAGGCCGTTTCTTTTTTCTCCTTTTCTTCCTCTTTTCTTCTTCCTTTCCTTCCCAGGCCACACCCACTCCTCCTTCCTTCCATGGCTGTGATGGTTTGATTGGGTGATGATGGTGGTTGAGTTGGGTATGTGGTGGTTCTTCTTCTTGTCTCTGTTTTTTTTTCTTCTTCTTCCTCTGTATTTTTTTTTCTTAATTTGCAGATTTGTTTATTTTGGGTTGGAGAAGATGGGTGTTGTTCCTGTTGGTGGGTTTATTGGTTGTCAAGAGAGAGAGCTAGAGTTGTTGATGGGATGCATTCTTGTGTCTTCGGAAAACACTGAAAATGAAATCACTGAAAACAACTTTTTTTCATTTTCAACTTTTGTTCACAAAGTCAGATTTGTTTTCAGAAAACGTTTTGTGAGGGAAAACGAAAACGATGCACCGAACGTGTTTTTTGTGAAAAACAGGAAACAAAAACAGAAAACAAGCTCTAAAAACATTACCGAACGGGCCCTTAACTTCCTCAGCTCATTCATAATAGAACTTAACATAGGGGCTAGACTTTATATTTTTCTGTTTCCCCTTTTTTATTTTTCTGTTTTTTGTTAAATGAAATTTCTAACTTAACATAGGCACGTTAACTTGTAAAGAATGAGTATTGGAATGATTCAAATTCCTACTTTTTCTGTGTTTACTAACACATGGAATGATTCCAATTCATGACTTCCCATACGCTTACTAACACATAAGGAATAAAAGATTATGTGGGTTCCACATTAAAATTCATAATCGAATGCCCTCAAAATTGGGAATGAAATCAACTAGGAGGGAGTAGTTGATCCGATTCTCATGCCTTAATAACCCCATCTAAGTTCCCCGATTCATGACGTCTCCCATCCTTGGTATGTAAAAATTAAATTGACGGTCAAAATGTGAGGAACGACTCAATTGGAATGAAAGAGAAAGTGGGATAATTGAATTGCTTAAAAAAAAAAAAGTTTCAGCACTTAATTGAAACTTGGTTATAAATTTAAGGACCAGGGTTAAATCTTTTTAAATTTTTTTTAATATCAAAAAACATTTTTAGCCTTTTTATAAGCAATACTAAACAAACCCTCAAACTTTGTTGTAAAGAAAACTACGCAATATAGATTTCATTTTCTAACATATTTCTTCTTAAAACTAGGCAAAGAAATGCCATCATTAGTCAACAACTATTAGTTCAAAAAAGTAAATTTTCTTCTTAACTTAAATTAAAATAAAGCTTTCGACCAAAAATAAATTAATAAAAATAATGCAAATTACAAGTGAATTTTAAGAACGAAAATGATAACAATAACAATCAACCTTCTATAGAGCTTGGAACATAACATTAACTCCTCAAACCACCATGGAAGGAGGACTTTTCTCTGCTCACAAGCCTACTTATCTTCTTCTTCTCCTTCATATTTTCCTGCTTGCTCTGCTTCCATTCAAGGCCATTTCATCACCAAAAACACAGGCAGAAGCTTTGCTAACTTGGAAGAACACCTTTGCTTCTGCACCACCTTCTCTCCCTTCATGGTCCCTCACTAACCTCAACAATCTTTGCAACTGGTATGCCATTGTTTGTGACCAGAGCAGCAAACAAGTTTCCCAAATTGACCTCTCCAACTTCGACATCTCTGCAACGCTAACCCATTTCAACTTCTCCCCATTTCTCAATCTCACCCAATTCAACCTCAATGGCAACAATTTCACAGGGCCTATACCGTCTGCCATTGGCAACCTCTCCAAGCTCACAACTTTGGACTTGGGCAACAACTTTTTCGATCAAGAAATACCTGTGGAGATAGGCATGTTGACTGAGCTTCAGTATCTGAGTTTCTACTTCAACGGTCTTAGTGGTACTATTCCCTATCAGCTCAGCAATCTCCAAAAGGTACAGTTTTTGATTCTTGGAGGAAACAGCTTAGAAACTCCTGACTGGTCCAAATTTTCAGGCATGCCTTCTTTGACATACCTTGATTTTTATCTAAACCGTCTTGATTCAGAATTCCCAGAATTTATATCTAAATGTTTGAACTTGACATTCCTGGACTTGTCTGAAAATTTCTTTACTGGCCAAATACCACAACAAGTATTTACCAATCTGAGCAAGCTTGAATATCTCAATCTCACCAACAACCAATTCCAAGGACCACTGCCATCAAACTTTCCCAAGCTTAAACACCTTCATTTAGCACAAAACAACTTCAGTGGTGCCATTCCTGAAGCTATTGGTTTGATATCTGGTCTTCAGCGTATTGACTTGGCTTGGAATTCCCTTGAAGGGCCAATTCCATCCTCCATAGGCCAACTCAGGGAGCTTAAATACCTTGATCTTCGAAAAAATTATTTGAACTCTTCAATCCCATCTGAGCTTGGTCTTTGTACCAGCCTCACCTACTTGGACCTGACTTCCAATCACCTTGAAGGGAAAATTCCGCCTTCTATAGGCCAACTCAGAGAGCTCCAGCACCTTGATCTTCACTTGAATTCCTTAGCCTCTTCAATCCCATCTGAGCTTGGTCTTTGTACCAGCCTCACCTACTTGGACCTAGCTCACAATCAACTTGAAGGGAAAATTCCACCTTCTATAGGCCAACTGAGGGAACTTCAGCACCTTGATCTTCACATGAATTCCTTAAACTCTTCAATCCCTTCTGACCTTGGTTTTTGTACCAACCTCACCTACTTGGCCCTGGCTTCCAATAAACTCAATGGGGAACTGCCTCTGTCCTTGTCCAATCTGAAAGACATCACCGATCTGAGTTTATTTGCTAATCGGTTTACCGGTCCACTCTTGCCTTCTCTCCTCTCCAATTGGACCGAAGTGGTCTCTTTGCAACTTCAACACAACAGCTTTAGTGGGAATATTCCACCAGAAATTGGACTGTTGACAAAACTCAATGTGTCTTATCTGAATGATAATAAGTTCTCTGCCTCAATTCCGTCAGATATAGGAAGATTATCAGATTTGATACGCTTGGATCTTTCGAGAAACCAGCTTTCTGGGTCAATTCCTCTAATACTATTGAAACTTGCAAATCTTTAGAGCTTAAATCTTTCCAACAACAATCTCAGTGGCCCATTCCCGCTCCGGGAGAATTTTGATTTGTCTAATAACAATTTCACACCGGAAATCCAAAAAGCCCCCGACAATACTTTTGTTGGAAACTCTGGCTTGTGTGGAGATGCTAGGGGCCTAACTAGAGCGTGCAATTCCAAAAAAAATAACAACAAAGTTATAATTGGTGTCCTTGTACTTGTTTGTGGTTTAGTGGTTGCAACTACAATTGCTCTGATTCGTATGTTCCATAAGAAAACCAAGCGTGCTCTTAAGAAAATCAATAGTGCTCAAAACTTTGAGAATTTTGAGTCAATGATATTGCAAGAAGAAGTAAAATTTACGTTTGGGGAAGTTGTAAAGGCCATAGAAGATTTTCATGAGAAGTACTGTATTGGAAAAGGAGGATTTGGAAGAGTATACAAGGCAGAATTGCTATCAGGTCAAGTTGTTGCCGTTAAGAGGCTTAACATGTCAGACTCTAACGACATTCCAGCAATCAATCTCCAAAGTTTTGAGAATGAAATCCGAACTCTAACAAATGTCCGGCATAGGAACATCATTCGGCTATATGGGTTCTGTTCAAGGAGGGGATGCATCTTCTTGCTTTATGAATATTTAGAGAGAGGCAGCCTGGGAAAGGCATTGTATGGGCTTGATGGGGTACCTGAACTTGGATGGGCTACAAGGGTCAAAGTTGTGAAAGGATTAGCTCATGCACTTTCTTACTTGCACCACGACTGCTCTCCACCAATTGTGCACCGTGATGTAACTGTCAACAATGTGTTGCTCGAGTCAGATTTCGAAGCCCGACTTTCTGATTTTGGAACAGCAAGACTGATTAGTGCCAATTCATCCAACTGGACCCATATTGTTGGCTCATTTGGCTACATGGCACCAGGTAACATACCAATTTAACGTTGTGCATTTTTGGATCATAATTTGGTGGCTGAGATATGTTTTGAGGATTTGGTTTGTTTTTCTCTTCATGTGCAGAGCTTGCATTGACAATGCGAATCACGGATAAGTGTGATGTGTATAGCTTTGGAGTGGTGGCGCTGGAAGTTATGATGGGAAGGCACCCAGGGGATTTGCTAGAATCCCAGCTTTCAGAATCATCACAATCAATGAAGGAGGACAATGCAAAGTTGCTTTTGAAGGATTTGTTAGACCAAAGGCTGGAGGCTCCAAGGAATGAATTGGCAAAGGCAGTGGTGCTTGTGATGAGTTTAGCCTTGGCTTGTATACGTACGCGTCCCGGGTCTCGACCTACAATGCTCTATGTAGCACAAAAACTATCAGCTCATAGTCTGCCTTCCCTTCCTGAACCATTTGGCATGCTAACCTTTTACTAGCAATCCCTTTTTTTTTTTTTTTTTTTTTTGGTGGTAAATTTATTACTAGTATGTATATGGGTGAGTTATATTATACTTTAATTTTTTTCAATATTTTTAATTATTAATTGTATGGCATTACGTAATTGTGTAAGTTTGTGTTAGCTTATGTGAGACCCCAATTTAAGGTTCGAACAGGGCCTTCAAAATCTCAAGACCGGCCCTGTGTGTGTAGAGAAACAAATGACTGGGGCCAAGGGAAGGGAAGACTAGACCAGGCCAGTCAAGTGGAGGAAACCTTACAACCACACAACTTTTGATTATGAAACGAACCATGGTCAACAGACTCAACACCATGGAAGGAGTTGAGAGGCCGCCTCCGTTTCTTCTTGTTGTCCTTCATATTTTCATGATAAGTACAACCAAATGTTTCTTCGATGCTAGTAATAATATCCCTACTCATCTCATCTATATTCTTTTCAGATTATTTGTAACACGTGTGAATTGAATTTGATGATGAGACTGAGTGCACTTCACATGTGGAAAACTCGATTGATAATTTGATGATGAGACTGAGTTCTGTTTTTTTATATTTATTTATTTTTTAAACGTAGTTCAATTTTATTCTAAAACGTGGGATTGGGGTTTTTTCTTTGTCTATGTAAAGAAAGAAACTAATGTGAAACTGAGAATGAAGGTTCAATTCAATGTAGTAGCCAACATTGTGCGTGTGAAGGTTCAATGTGTCAGAGGCAGGAAACTTACAAGACTTGACTTCCTCAGCTCATTCATAATAGAACTTAACATAGGGCCTAGACTTTATATTTTTCTGTTTCCCTTTTTTTTATTTTTCTGTTTTTTGTTAAATGAAATTTCTAACTTAACATAGGGCCTAGACTTTATATTATGTCCACACAAATGGCATTAATTATGAAATGTCATCATCAATCAACTTAAATTAAAATAAAGCTTTCGACCAAAAATAAATTAATAAAAATAATGCAAATTACAAGTGAATTTTAAGAACGAAAACGATAACAATAAGAATCAACCTTCTATAAAGCTTGGAACATAACATTAACTCCTCAAACCACCATGGAAGGAGGACTTTTCTCTGCTCACAAGCCTACTTTTCTTCTTCTTCTCCTTCATATTTTCCTGCTTGCTCTGCTTCCATTCAAGGCCATTTCATCACCAAAAACACAGGCAGAAGCTTTGCTAACTTGGAAGAACACCTTTGCTTCTGCACCACCTTCTCTCCCTTCATGGTCCCTCACTAACCTCAACAATCTTTGCAACTGGTATGCCATTGTTTGTGACCAGAACAGCGAACAAGTTTCCCAAATTGACCTCTCCAACTTCAACATCGCTGCAACGCTAACCCATTTCAACTTCACCCCATTTCTCAATCTCACCCAATTCAACCTATCTGGCAACTATTTCACAGGGCATGTGCCATCTGCCATTGGCAAACTCTCCAAGCTCACAACTTTGGACTTGGGCAACAACTTTTTCGATCAAGAAATACCTGTGGAGATAGGCAAGTTAACAGAGCTCAAGTATCTGAGTTTCTTCAACAACACTCTCACTGGTGTAATTCCCTCTGAGCTGAGCAATCTCCAAAAGGTGCAGTTTTTGATTCTTGGAGCCAACTACAACTTACAAACTCCTGACTGGTCTAAATTTTCAGGCATGCCTTCTTTGACTTACCTTGATATTTCTGGTCTAATAGGACTTCATTCAGAATTCCCAGAATTTATATCTAATTGTTGGAACTTGACATTCCTTGACTTGTCTGGAAATCTCTTTACTGGCCAAATACCACAACAAGTATTTACCAATCTGAGCAAGCTTGAATATCTCAATCTCACCAACAACCGATTCCAAGGACCACTGCCATCAAATTTTCCCAAGCTTAAACACCTTCATTTAGCACAAAACAACTTCGGCGGTCCAATTCCTAAAGATATTGGTTTCATATCTGGTCTTCAAAGTATTGACTTGGCTTGGAATTCCCTTGAAGGGCCAATTCCATCCTCCATAGGCCAACTCAGGGAGCTTAAATACCTTGATCTTAGAGAGAATTCCTTAAACTCTTCAATCCCTTCTGAGCTTGGTCTTTGTACCAAACTCACCTACTTGGCCCTGTCTTCCAATCACTTTGAAGGGAAAATTCCACCTTCTACAGGCCAACTCAGAGAGCTTGGGTACCTTGATCTTAGAGAGAATTCCTTAAACTCTTCAATCCCTTCTGAGCTTGGTCTTTGTACCAACCTCACCTACTTGGCCTTGGCTTCCAATAAACTCAATGGGAAACTGCCTCTGTCCTTGTCCAATCTGAACAAGATCACCGATCTGAGTTTATTTGCTAATCGGTTTACCGGTCCACTCTTGCCTTCTCTGTTCTCCAATTGGACCGAAGTGGTCTCTTTGCAACTTCAACACAACAGCTTTAGTGGGAATATTCCACCAGAAATTGGACTGTTGACAAAACTCAATGTGCTTTATCTCAATGATAATAAGTTCTCCGCCTCAATTCCGTCAGATATAGGAAGATTATCAAATTTGACAAACTTGGATCTTTCGAGAAACCACCTCTCTGGGTCAATTCCTCTAACACTATGGAAACTTCCACATATTCGGAGCGTAAATCTTACCAACAACAATCTCAATTTTACACAAGAAATCCAAAAAGCCCCTGACAATACTTTTGTTGGAAACTCTGACTTGTGTGAAGATGCTAGGGGCCTAACTAGAGCGTGCAATTCCAAAAAAAATAACAACGAAGATATAATTGGTGTCCTTGTACTACTTGTTTGTGGTTTATCAGTGGTTGCAACTACAATTGCTCTGATTCGTATGTTCCATAAGAAAACCAAGCGTGCTCTTAAGAAAATCAATAGTGCTCAAAACTTTGAGAATTTTGAGTCAATGATATTGCAAGAAGAAGTAAAATTTACGTTTGGGGAAGTTGTAAAGGCCATAGACGATTTTCATGAGAAGTATTGTATTGGAAAAGGAGGATTTGGAAGAGTATACAAGGCAGAATTGCTATCAGGTCAAGTTGTTGCCGTTAAGAGGCTTAACATGTCAGACTCTAACGACATTCCAGCAATCAATCTCCAAAGTTTTGAGAATGAAATCCGAACTCTAACAAATGTCCGGCATAGGAACATCATTCGGCTATATGGGTTCTGTTCAAGGAGGGGATGCATCTTCTTGCTTTATGAATATTTAGAGAGAGGCAGCCTGGGAAAGGCATTGTATGGGGTTGATGGGGTAATTGAACTTGGATGGGCTACAAGGGTCAAAGTTGTGAAAGGATTAGCTCATGCACTTTCTTACTTGCACCACGACTGCTCTCCACCAATTGTGCACCGTGATGTAACT